GGGGGAACCAAGTCTGATACAGTGAGGATGGATAATGAAGATAAATCAAAGCTACGCGCATGTAGTCAGAGATTAAAATCCGATCTAACGAGTCCATCAGTACGTCAGAACTCTTCATTCTTCCACTGAAAGAAAGAACGCTCGTTAATAATAATTGTACAATGAATTATTAGGCTTGTACATCGATCTGTTTATAAATGTCGCTCATTAAATTAATTAAATCAAAGAAATCGGCATTTCCCCTCCGATTTGGAAACATTTTATGGAATTTTGTTTGTTTGTTTGTTTGTTTTTGCTCAACACTTTTTACGTCTAATTAAAACACATTTCTGTGTAAATTTGACTGGAAAACGCTGGATAAAGGCACTCACAGAAAAAAGGTAAATTTCCAATTTCATAGGACACATGGGTTCGATTCCCGTGGGGATTAGAAGGGGATGTAGAAAGGGGGTTTGTGGAGAAAGAGGGTTTGTGGAGAAAGAGGGTTTGTGGGGAAAGAGGGATTGTGGAGAAAGAGGGTTTGTGGAGAAAGAGAAGGGAATGTAGAAAGAGGGTTTGTGGAGAAAGAGGGTATTCAGACTCGTAACTCTCTTTCCTGACCTGTTTGCCGAAGTGGGTGCACCCATTTGTTGAAGTGATGCTTACCCGTTTGTCAAAGTTGTTTTAAGCTATTTTGCCGAAGCGGCTCATGCCACATTATTTGCCGAAGAGGTGCACTAACACATTGTCCGGATTTTGCTTATTAAGCGACTCATTGCCCAGCTCCATCAATTAGATTTCGAACTGAATTAATTGGCTTTTCAGGTATTAAAAAAAAACATATCTACAGGACAGGGGCAATCTCTAAAGTGTTGGGGCGGCATTTTCTTTCCCATTTGGGATTTTTAGAAAATGAAGTTGAGAGAAATGGCCATCTGGGCACAATTGCTTATAACGCATTCTCCTTTCCTCTTTCTTGGCAGTGTCATTCTGTTTGGTCTGCGTTTTTAGTTTTAGCTTAGAAATGGTCTGGAAGTCGTTTAACGTCTCCAGAAAGACGAATATATTTGAATGGGGGCTGTACAGAGTAATTTTGTCAGGTGGACTGTAACTGTTGAATGGAATCGGTAGTCTAATTTTATCGATATCGGCAAAAAGTGCGTGGCTTTGATAGTTTTTTTCTCGACAGTGCACTAGAGGTGGGCAAAATCCGGATAATCTATACAGGATAACCGGATAATTCTCAATGAAACATTATCCGAATTCAGACTCTTATCTCTCTTTCCTGACCCGTTTGTCGAAGTGGTTCTAACCCATTAGCCGAAGAGGTTCATATCATATTATTAGCCGAAGACGTGCACTTAATAATATTATTATTCGGATCTTGCTAAAGCGACTCATTGCCCAGCCCTACAGTGCACGGCTCTGATTGATAGTCAGAGGTCGCACTATGTCATTTATATATTATAATATGTTAAGATGAGAATCACAGAAGTAAAGATAAGATAAGATACATCTTTATTGTCCACATCATGGCACATTGGTTTGCTGTTTCA